GAGGAAAGATCTGATTGATTTAAACATTAGCTCCAAAAATAAATGACACACACTTAATGATAACTACAATGTCTGGTTCTTAGAAATGGAAGTTACATGGAGTGTTGTTTTTGTTTATTTGTTTTATAAGTAAATCTCTCAAAGGGTACATGCTTCATATTTACAAATATTTAATATCTTTTAAATGATGAATCATTAGATAGTAATACCTTTATCTGGTATTTTCATCTGTCTCTCCTTGCTTCAATTATAATCACATATTGTTGTTATAGGTACAAATGAATAATGATTCTATCTTCCCTCATATCAAATACTTTTTAGACTCTGGCACAACAATAGAATGCTTTTATCTTGATCTTTATTCCTACTCTGAATAGAAAATGAACATTATTACTTACACAGTCATGGTAATTTCAGATATTTCTACACATCTTCATGTACAAACAAAAGTCAAGGTACAGTTTTCACAGAATATCCATTTAATGAGCAAGTCACCCTAATTAGGAAATAAGAAATACTGAACCAACCAGTTCAAAGGATCGGGTACACCTTCTGCAACTGTTGACTTCTGTTTCCTGTTAGTATGATCATGAGTACCTCCTGGCAGGCTTGTATCAGAGTCCCTCCAAAGCATCAGTGTTCCTAAGACACCTCAAGTGTGTCCCAGTGCAACACTGTAGTAAGTTACCACAAGAGACTCATTTATCCTCATCAACACTATTCTGTTAATAGACTTTGTTTAGTATTTGCATTTCAATTTTATGAATAAATTGAGCACTGTCCAAATATTACTCAGCTTTCTTCATTATCTGTTGAGCAGTGAGGAGAGCTACAGACTACTTCCAGGTAGACTAAGATTTCCCTCCATTTCCCATTCTTATACTTCTCTTTTCCTGCAGACTATAAAGTGTTAACAACTGTAGCCCAGACAAGCTAGAATTACAAATTTACTGATATTTCTTGGATCTGTTTTTATCCTACATAGAGACAAAGTTAAATTGTGTTGAAAGATACTTTGAACACTATCATTTTTTTAGGGAGAGCATAAGTAGATGAGAATAAAAGAAGGTGAGGGATGAAGTTGGGTTATTCATATAGGATTATTATTGCCCAGAAAAATCTGCTTTTTTTGTAACTAAAAGTAACTAATTTACTCTTAGTAGGGAAATGAGACATAAATATTCATCTACAATTTAAATGTTGATTTTTAGTGTAAATTAGAGAATGTTAAATATTCTAATAGTAAAATATTTGAATCTATTTAACACTTCTCTATGACAATTTTCTTTTCTTATAGATATTCATGTATCATTTAAAAATCAAAAAGTAGCAAGCAAATGTATCAAGACAATAGTTCACATGTTTTAGAACATTTCAATCTAAAACATCTTGGAATGTAACTGTTGACAAATTTTCACCTATTCAAAATTATGTGCTTGAATTTTTCATGAATCAAGTTTAATCTACTTTAGCTATTTAATATAAAAGTACAATAAGCTTAAAAGTTCAAATTTCATTGGTCATTGACATAACACACTAAAAGAATAAGTAATGGTTGCTTTAGGTAAGTGATATACTTTTATTAAATTGCTCCCTATAACTCAAAATAAAGCTAGAGAGGGAATAATCCTTCATGCTAACTTTTTCCTAACTGAGTATTCAGTGACAAAGCCCTAATAATGTAGTGCAAGTAAATAATGGTTTGCAACATTGGCAAACATAATTGATTAAAAATTCCACTTTTTAAAGCCTGAAAATTATGCTTTACACAGTATAGTCATGTTTTATTCCATAATTAAAACCTGAATAGACTTTGTGCTTTGGTCTTTGGAGAAATTTTAGATTATATAATTAAATAGGAAGCTGTTTGAAGGAAGTATTATCCAAGTAACTTGTTATGATAAAACAATCACAAATGAACTGTGTATATTTGGATTATGAGTATCACATCTATCATGACCCAACACCTGATTGAAAAATTGCAGCTGGCACAGCAATAGTGTCAGAAAGGTCAGGACAAAGCAGATGAAAAGTACAGTAAAGCTTGCTCTTCAGCATACCGTATTTAGTAAAAGTTACTTTTAAGATCCTCACAGGGCATTTGGTCTCTGCTAATCAATAAAATATGTAATTACAATTGGTCACTGATGTAAAACAATGTACATATCCATTTACTCGAAACTTACATGAAGCTATAAAAATGAAAAGATGAAAATTTAGGATACATAAAAATAGTTACAAAATTCTGAAGACTTGTTGACTATTTGGTTTTGACTATAGATTTTACTGTATCATCACAATACCTTAAAATTACATTTATCTGTGTGCTGATTTATTATGTATGTGTCTATGCACACCTACATGTATATGTATGTGTGGCTGTGTGTGTGATTGTGAGTGTGTGTGTGTGTGTGTGTAGTCTAGGGGACAACCTGTAGGACTCCATTCTCTTTTTATACCATGTAAAGTTCCAGGGATTAAACTCAGGTTATTAAGCTTGAAAACAAGCAAAATTATTTACTGAATGATCTCGGTGGCCACATAGTCCTTTTACATATATTTTAGCTTATGTAATTTGCATATGATAGCTTATTGTGGAACACTACTTTCTAATGGGTGCTACAAAAAGGCTATTTAGAAAGTATACTAAATCAGGTATTAACATAACTTCATAAAGTGAAATTTATTATTTATAAACAAACTGGCAACACATAACTTATTTATATGTTGTTTTCTCCAATAAAGTGGATATTCAAGAAGGGGAATATTAATCCAATGAATAGTATACCATCTACATTTTGCCAGTAAGATCCCATTTCTGAAGATATGGATATCTGGATAATGGAGTGATACACCATGGAGACACCAAGCTGGTACTAGCCTGGAAACTTCATCCCCAATTGCTAGCTTTCATAGTGCTGGAAGATACTGTGAGTGTTACCAGGGGGTAAATCAATCTTAACCAGCTGAGCTGAAATAAAGATTGGTGAAACAATGGTACAAACATCATGGGAATAATCAGTCTCTTTCTTAGGGATTTAAGGTCCACTTTGCAAGTTGAAATTCATGCTTCTCACTGTTATTGGAGTCAAGATCTTGTGACTATGGCATATGTCATAGGGGAGAACCTTCTATAACTCAACTAAATTAACACAATATGTTAAACAGACTCCAATTATCTTATTTTTCTACCCAGAGATTACCACATCTCTCAACCATCATCAGAGAAACGTATTTTTCCCAATAGGTTGTGATTATCACTGGTTCATAGAACAGCAGATTGTGGAATGTTCAACCCTAGTGATGAATCTGTTTTACATTCCCTCTGAAGGCTCGGAGATGATTGCCGAAAAAGGGGCAGAAAGATTGTGAGATCCAGGGTTAGATGATGACTACTAGGAGACAGTCTCTACTGGACATACCAGGGCAGTTGAAGATATGAACCACAGTGGTTGTGATGGCACGGACAACTCCTGTGAGAGATGGGGATGAAGTCCCACTCCTAGCTAAGGAGCAACTGGAAACTGATAGATGCTGGGAAAAGAAAGCTGAGTTTCTCTTTTAGGGTCTGACTCCGGGTGTATCAACCAAACTCCAGTAAGGCCACACATACAAGGTCAGCACAAATTGTACCTGATGGAAAAAAAGGGACACAAAGTTTGCCAAGTAGGGGAGGGAGATGCATCTGGGAGAATTTGGGGGAAGGTGAGGAATATGATCAAACACAATGTACAAAATTCCCAAAGAACTAATAAAAATAATAAAGAGTTTTCATTTTTGCTTATGTGTATGTGCTTGTGTCTGCATATATAAAAGCCATATGAGGCTGGAAAAGGGTGTTGGATCCCCTAGAACTGGAGTTATAAGCTGCTTACTGTGGGTGCTAAGAGCCAAAATCAGTTCTCTGAAGGAACAACTAGTGCTTTTAAGTACTGAGCTATCTCTTTTTTCCATTAAAAAAAAACAAAAAAACTAAAGACAAAAAGTTGCTTAAGTATCTCTGTTAAATGGTTCAATTGTGTTTTCAAAATAAGTTCACATGTGTTGATAACCAGTCAGCTAGACCCCATGCCATTTTTTCTTTCTCTCTCCCTCCCTCTCTTTCTTTCCTTTCTTTCTCTCTCTCTTTCCTTTCTTTCTCTTTATTTCCTCTCTCTCTCTCTCTCTCTCTCTCTCTCTCTCTCTCTCTCTCTCTCTCTCTCTCTCTTCCTCCCTGCCTTCCTTCCTTTCTTTCCTTCCTTCTTTTCTCTTTTTTTTTTGGTTGTGAAAAGCAGGGTTTCACTACTTAGTCCAAGACCTTAGGTTCCTCCTACCCAGCCTCCCAAAAGCTGGGCATGCAGTATGTGCCTTGCTTCCTTCTAATTATTTTATGTAATATTTCCTCATCCATTTTCTTTCTATTTCTTTAAAATTTATATATACATTTTAACTACATGTGAAATAGAAGTTAGAATGCAACAATTCTTGTTGATTTCCCTTCTCCAACATCATGCTTGTTGAATTTTACAATATGGAGGATCTCCATTCAGACGTGAAAACAGACCACATATCCTAATATAAATGTAATAGACTGTGCTTTGTGTCAGGTAGGCGAGAAAGTCTAGGGCTCAACATGATATAAGCATACATGTATGCGTATGTGCATATACGTTTTGTAAAATTCAAGACCTCTGCACAAGTCAGTAGTTTTCAGAGCTAACATTCTTGGTAGATGGACTAGAAATGTTGCTCCATAGTGCAGGATTAAACATATTTGCATGTCTTAATCAGTTTCTGGTTCGAACAAACAAACAAACAAACAAAAATCAGTCAAATGTCTTTCCTGCTGGTTCCTGATCATGGGTTTTAAGTATTCCATTTAATCACAGCACTTAGGAGGCAGAGGTAGGCATACCTTTGTGAGGCATATCTTTTCGACATAATGAGGCCCCACCTCACAAACAAACAAGTAAGCAAGCAAACATACAACAAAACAATAAACACCCCAAACAAAACAAAACTCTCTTAATCAGAATGTTTTATTTAAGGCTGGAATTCAGTTACTTAGTATACAATGCCTCCTCCCAAGTATTCCAGTTGAGCATTCCCAGTAATCTGAATTAGACAGAAACATTAACAGTGAGAAAATCAAACACAAATTATACCTTGAGGAATGAACATCAAGCTCAGGTCAGAAATATTTTCCAGAAGCAAAATTCCAAGGAACATATGCTCAGTAATTAAGCCACCAGAAACTCTGAAAGAAAGGGGACTATAGAATCAGACCCATAAAACAGGAGTAGGTTGGCAATGCCAGATACAGAATATAAGCCAGAATATATAGTTAAAGGGATAGCGAAGTTACATTAAAGGAACAAGATATCACAAAATATGGCCAGGCAGTAATGTAGAAAAAGCAATTTTCAACTGAAAATTGCAACCACTGAACTTAGAAATTCCATGAGATGGGAAATTTGACAAGTTGATGGCTCAAAATCAACCAGAGAGACTCTCAGAAGGAAGAGTGTCAGACAGGCCTGAGGATGGGCTGTCACACATATCCTTTGTTCTCAGGAGAATGAGGGGAGTCATGGCAGGAGGTAGGGGTGGTTAGACACAGCTTTTGAATAAAGGCAATGTGGTATATTCACATCATGGAATATTACTTGGCCATAAAAAATAAATTCTGTCATTTGATTCAACATAGAGAGATTTAGAGAACATTAAGTAGAGTAAAACCAAGAGAGACAGACCATGGGCTCTACCTCATGTATTAGTTTTAATTTCATCTTGACTCAACCTAGAGCATCTAGAGTGAAATAGTGATTATAGGGGCAGGGGAAGTGTAGGAGAAATGATAAAAAAGTAAACAACAACAACAAAAACCCCCAAAGAGCTAGGAGGAATATAGTCTTTTGGGGGCATATGGGAATTGGTTTTATCATATCACCTTGTGAATATAGTTATCAAAAGTTCACTGTATGGTAAAAGTTGCTAAGAGAATATAGCTCAACATGTTCTTATAACAGGTGTTACGTATCAGGGTTGATTTAACCATTTGGGTTGGTCTAATCATTCCACATCAGTTTCATATGCCATAACTTCACTTTGTATTCTGTGAATTTATGTAGTTATGAATGGTCATTTTGCATTTTTTAAAAGAAGGATAGAAATTTAGAATAAAGACTGCCTCAATCAAGCTGAGACAGAATTCATACTAGTATGCCTTTATGTGAGCAGGATTCAATCAGCACGTGCTCTAGAAAAGAGAAAAGCAATGCTACCATGCTGTTTTACCTAGTATGATAAGTATTTTAAGGTGCTATTTTAAATCAATTTTCTTTATAGCGACAACAGAAAATTTCCAAAGCATTAGAATTTCTAATTTATGCAGCATGAATTAATCTGGCTCAATTATTTGCCCTGTGAGCTTGCATTTTGTACCTCAATTTATGCCAAATGTCAATCACTGGAAATTTGATAGGAGAAAATTTTTAATCATTAATATAGGCTGTATTGTGTGGTATGAAATTATTTTGTATAGCTTAGTGTGATAATGCTAAATAATACAACTAACCTCCAAGTCCAAAAGGTTGTGGATAAATAATGCCACCTAATTTCTCAGTTTATATAAATGGAAACATTGAATAAAGGATATATTGCCGTCTTATATACTACTGTCTGTACTAAACACCAATACCACCATCAACACTATAATGACTTCAGTGTTTTCCTCTAAAATAAGCCCAAAACTAATGTCTATAGCAGTTGCTGAATATATAATAGACTTTGTGTTTTCCTATCTATTAAATTTTAACAGTATCTAACTTGAACACGAGAGGTCTTATATAACAAGAAATTTTGTTCTATTAAACTGTAGAATACAAAGTTAAAAAGAGCATTTATGAATGATCAAATATTGAAGGAAAGTTGGAACATTTAATTTATTGAGAAATTCATTTAATGCAAAGGTACCCTGGTGATATAGACATTATTGAGACTCTACTTGAAGGGAACATTTTCATACAGTATAATTCGTGGGAATTAATTTCCTTCTCCCTTGAGAATTTGGATATTGTTAGACTGTCCAATGGCATGCTTTTCCAACAGTACATAAAATCATATTAGAGGATTTCAGAAAATAAAAAATAAAAAAAAACAAATCACCCAGGGCCAAATTTATCACTGGAGAAGCATATTCAGGAGAAATGATAAAAAGCATAGTAAGTACAAAGTTGAAATTGTTACTTTGAACTTATCCTGAAATGATTGACATGGCATTATTTATCCTGCAGCCCTGCTTTAGTTTTTGACAGATTTTGTGACCAAGAACAAACTGAATTGATCTCAGATCAAATATAAATTTGCTGTTTTCAAACAAACAAGTGTAGTATCAAATTTGCAAGAGTAGAGCAAACCACAGAGCTTAGCACATGTAGCTTCACTCTGATAAGCTTCTTTGCCATCATTTCAGTTTCTCAAAGACTTTGCCTTATACCTAAATGAGATGTCAGAATTGGGATGCTGAATACCGAACAACAAACGTTTGTGGTTTAGTTCTACGGTCTTATTGTCAATTGTTTCTATATCAAAATAAGTTGAAAGTAAAGCCAATAGTAGCTTTAGTTCGTTAATTGCAAAATATCGTCCTGGACATTTGCTGACTCCGAGTCCAAATGGCATGACAGAATACTTCAGCTTTTTCCCTCCTTTGAGAAAGTTTTTTTTCTTCTTGCCATCTTCTATAAAACGATCAAACCTAAATTCCTATAAAGAATAAAAGACATTGTTAATATTAAAATTTTACATGAACTGTTTGAGTTAAGTCTACTAGGTTGCTGCCTCTCCTTGTCTGTCTTGTTGTGTAAGTTACTTTATGTCTGAAAACATACAGGAGGAAGTAAAACTTGAATACGTGAAAGCCATGCTCAAACTTTCAAAAAATTCAGATGTTACAGGGGACACCTATATACAATTACCTAAACCACTTCTCTTCACTATTCACATTTCTCTTGTCTTTTCTTACTTAGTATTCTGTGCTGGGCAATTGACAAGGAAAAGAAGTTTATTTTGGCTCATGATTCTAGAGCCCAAAATGTCTAAGAGCCTGGTGCTAATGGGGTCTTGAGCTGTTTCTCACAATGTAAAATGGCCGAGTTAGTTAGTGCATTTGGAAGAGTAAAAATAAGAGAGGCAGTCTATTGTTATAATAACACACTTTTCTGGTAGCCAATATGGTGTCGAGAGAGTGATAACTAACACGTCAAAGACTTTACCTCTAATAACCTAACCACCAACAGGGCATTTAGATTATAGAATGAGTTTTGGAGGGAACACTCAGTACTCAAATCATGGTGATACTTTTTAAGCACAAAGGTTCCATCTATCTCCATTTTTGTCCTCTATGATGGATCTTTATTTGTAGATCATTGATGTATCAATTATGGGTAGAAGGGGTCTCCTATATGCTGCCATTGTTACTATGAAGCAATACATCTTAGCAGCCACAGTTTGCTGTTCAGTTATCATCCCAACTATCTACTAATGGATGAGTATCATGAAATTTGGATTCAGTATTTATTAATGAATTAAAGAGACAGAAAATAAGAAGATTCAAACAAAGCCCTAAAGAGAACCTAAGCGGCAAAACATATTTTTGTGTTTTTTATATGTGAATTTCTCCAATGGCATTTCTATTAGTGTGTACTCTGCTTGGACTAACTCTAGGTAACAGGCATTTCTGACAAATTTTCTTAAATAAGTTATACTACTTGCTACAGAAAATCAGAGAGTTCGTTTATTTAGGGTAGTTGACTTGCAGCCTTAATTTTGACATTCTGCCAAAACATCCTGGCTGAACTCTCACTTGAGTTTGTTAAAGGGAACTGAGTGACTGTATTTTAGTCCACCATGAATTAAACCATCAATTAGATTAACGCTCATGGTTTCTAAGACAGCCAATTATTTCTGATAGTTGAAGCCCATTAGATCTGCTCAACCACAGTTTTGATGTAAACTACATGAAGTCAACTTAGAGTAAGTCAGATCCAACACATTTCAGGTTATGCTGAAACTCTATAATGTAAATAAATTATGAATGCATCACAAATGTTCAAACCATTTTAATGGCAAATTTGGTAATATCAGGTTAATCGTTTTCTTTATCAGTATTGGGTTTACCTTAGTTAACCCATAATACTTAATTTGTTAAGTATTTGAGCTTTGTAAAACTTTGCACAGTTCCTATTTTATCCCAACTTGCAAAAGCAGTACAATAATGTTAACAAATGCATTTAGCATTTTATAGTTGTTTTATTTCTTAGCAAGTGATACTTTAAACATACTGGAATAGAATTATATTTTACCACTGTTATGGAATGTATCCAGAGAGATCTAACCAATGCAGAACAGAAAATATCTGTTCACCTCTATAGGAAGCACAGTGGTATTCTCTGGGGACATACAATGTTTCTCGAAGAAGAGAGGTGACATATGAAACCCTCGCCTGATGAGCTTCTTCCATCCTGGGGCCTCATGCCTGCTTTCCTGAACTCAACACTGCTACATTTTTTCTTCCTGTTGACCAATTTAAGGAGATTAGCACTCTTTCCTACAGCTTCCTGCTAAGGCCAAACAGCTTAAGTACATTTTGACATGAAACACAATCCTAGAAAAAAATTCACTATAGTTCTGGTGTTTGTGCCAGAAAAAGCAAAAAAGAAAACGTGCCATAAATTATGACTTCACAGTATCCTAGATAATGTAAAATGAGCCTCAAGCTAAGGAGGCTGCCCAAATTCTTCTCCATGACCCTGTGGGAGGCTAGGGCAGCTCCCTCAAACTTGTAACCAATCACTAAGTTTACTCTTCCAATTTTCGGCCATCCTGTCTTAATTTCATCAGAATTAATATCTCAAAAATTTTCATTTTTATGGCTTATTTAGTAAAACTAAAAGGGAAACTATCAGTAGTAGCATTCGCTCTTTGCATGTCATCATTAGAACATAAGTATACAAATCTGAATAAAATCTGAAAATAAATTTGAATAACAATTTATGTTTGTTCCACTGCCTATGCATGGAGAACCCAGACAGGTTCATGTCAGGAAAACCTATGATCTCCATTAGGAAGCTAGCTTAGTTTCAACACCTAAAGGGAAGCATGTTATAATCTTACCTGAGCCATTGGGGATAATAGTAACGTAAAGCAGAGGTAAGCTAGCAAGTTCCACTCAAACTCAGTACTAATCACAAGTATAAAGCCTCTGAGTGACCTTAGGGTATTGGAAACAGGAGTGGGTGTGAAAGACACCTAGTCTGTCTACTGCCCACTAGGTCTTCTACTATAACGTTCCGGAGGTGGGCACATTCACTGAATTGTGTAACAAACTCTGACTGACTTGGGACCACGGGATTTGAAGCAATTTGGCCAATGGCACAGAGGGAAAAAAGTCTTTGGAGCCCTCAAGAAGTCCTTTTCTTGGAAAGAAAGCATCACAGAAACTAGTGGCTTGTAATCAGTCTTTCTCTGGACCTCATCATGCGAAAATGACAAAGTCAACTGCAGCCAGAACCAGCTAGCAGAAGATGGTAGAGTGAGGGAATCTCCTGGCATCTTCATAGTCTACCTCTGTGTTTTCACAGCCTCCAACACAGTGACACTTCCATGGCAGGGTTCCACATATGCTTGTTGGACTAATGAACAAATGGCAGTAATGACTATTTTTAAAGCAATACTCACGTTCTGGAAGGAAAGATAGATAACGGAACGTGGGCATACGGATAATGGGAAGTAGCTGCAAATTCGGAGTGTACAAATAGCAGAAACGTACAACACTGAAGGACTTGAAACCCAGTCTGGATAGGAGATATACTTTCTGCTTTTCTGAATGAGAGGAACTTTTAATGTACACGACAGAGGAGAATTGCTTAACAACCTCATTTATGTTTTCCTAATACTATGTTTAGTTCAGTTCAATGCACTTTTCAAAACAAGTGTTTCTTGTATAAACTGCGTTGCTAATACAAAGGCATAAAGTACAGACCTGATATTTGGGAGGGCACTTGATACGCTCATGTCTTTAGTTCACTCAGTTCTTGACTTGAATGTAGAAATTCTAAATTAGACAAGAGATAGAACTTCCTAGCATACTTCTCAGAGTTTGGAAAAGCTAAGAAGAGTCTAGTGCTGCCCCTGGATTCCAGTCTTCCAGGAGATAGGATGACATCCCAGAGAAGTCCTTTTTTACCTTCATGATCTGGGTTCAAATCAGTCATGAGTTGCTGTCAGCCAGTACCAGCTTGTCAGAGGATGTGTGTGCACAACTCTCCCAGGCTCTCTATCAGAGTCTTCAGGTTGGTAATGTCTTACCTCCCCAATATAGTAGTGTTTACACCAGAGACAATTAATCAATATTGCAGATTAGGGCTTTCAAAACTGTTTCACCAGGACACTAAGGGTTTCCGTGTGATAAATGTGAAAAGTCAATGTGCTGGTGTGGCAGAAACTCCCTTAATATAAAGCACCTGGCTATGAGGGGAAAAAAAGCCATGTGGCAAGGCCTATATTGTAAACAAGGGACCTTTTAGTTTTGTGGCACTATTATGTTATCAAAAGACTTCTGGGAAAAGAGAAGATAATTTTGTCTTAGTTTCCTTGAACTCTACTGAAGGCACGATCTATTCTTGTTGGAGATAAATAATCATTTATTTACAGTACTTATTCACCTGTGATGACAGGTCTATTCAAAGAACAGTGATGATGATTAAAATAACCCTGACATTGAAGCTACCACAGTGATCGAGAGTACTTTTTTCCAAGGGCTTTCAAACTTTAGCCTGTCGTTACACCCACAACCTTCTGAAGATGGAGACACATTGCATGAGATTAAACAAGACCTTCTAATAGCAGAGCCTTTTCTGGAATAGTCTGGAGGTGTTGTTCTTCTAATGTCACTTTGCTGTGTCTTTACCTCAGAAGCTGCACAGTGACGGTACTCACTGATATCTTCAACCATGCTGCATGTTCCCTACAGCCTAATACTGTAAACATGTTTCTCTATTCTTAACCACTTGTGGACCTAGAAAAACGGACCTGTGGAATTCATCCCCTCTACATATAGCTACATGGTTTCTGTTAGAAGAGAAACCATCACTCCTTCCTTCCCATTACTTGATGACCAGTTGTAGGATTTCTGGTCTATAACAGTGGGGAATTTTGGGAAGACCTTAGAAACACTTTAACAAGTGAGTCATTGCTAGTCAATTAACAGATAATCTGCATTTTACCTCTAAAGTAGGAAGAGTGAGTCAAGGAGGGCTGCTTCTCTTGTTTTACTCTCATCATATGTGTTTCATTTGCCTGTATGTTTCCACACACTAGCAAGAGTCATCCAAATGTGAGATATCACAAGATAAGTAGCCCATATTGAGGGAAAGAATAATCCTTAATATACCAGTTACATGGTGGTGACTTACAGGCCAGATTAGATTTCAGAGTGCATTTTGTTTATCCCATGTGGCTTGCAACTTTACTTTTCTAGATATTTGAAAATTCAGTTTCATCTCAAAGTCAAGTTTTCATGTTCTTTAAAATCCACTTAATAATGTCTTTGAAAACTATTCTTAGATTTTGCAAAGACTGAAGGGCGAGTTGCCCAGCCACGCCATTTAGATGCCTTTTAGGGGTCTTCTAAAAAGTTTTTTTTAAAGATTTGTTTTATTTTATTTTATGTATGCCATGTGCGTGTCTAGTACCTGACAAGATCAGTGGTGAGTCACTAGTACTGGAGTTACAGTGGTTGTGAGCTTCCATGTAGGTGCTGGGCACTGAGCCTGGGTCCTCTAAAAGATCAGCAAGTGTACTTAATGATTGAGCAATCTCTCCAGCCTCCTCATGTGTCTTTTCACCATGGTTCTTACCATTCTTTTTTCTTTTTTCAAGACAGAGTTTCTCTGTATTGTTTTGGAGACTGTCCTGGAACTCTCTCTGTAGACCAGGTTCCCCAGTGCTAGGATGAAAGGCGTGCGCCACTAACGCCTGGCTCTGTCCTCTTTCTTGGTCTGTGTTTTGTAATAAATCCATGCTTTACTGTGACTATCTGTTGTATTCTTAGCGTTTTTAGTAGTATGACTATATTTAAGCTACTTGTTAATTTAATCTATTCAGTGTGTACTCTGTTTTAATTGATGTATATTTTCATTTTCAGTGCAATCTCTCAACATTATGTCTCCTTAATTACTTTACATGGATAGTATCCTGTTGATAGGATGACACTTGAGTACTTAGCTGCAAAATACTTGAAATTTGCAAGGTAGTAATATCCTGTGGGCATGTACAATAGAAAAGCACATACAGGTGACAAATGAACAATGACATATTCTCACAAATTTAATGGAAATTGCACATTTTCCAAGAGGAGATGACAAAGGTGCTTATTGTGGAGGAATTTAGAATTTTCTGGGTAGGCAAGTAAGGGTGGGAGGGTTTCCTAAGACAAAGAGATAAATAATGGAGGGCTTTTCAGGAGTAGAGAGGTACAGGTACCAAAGGGATGAATGTGTGAAGGAGAAACAGGACAAGTTTTGGGAAGTGATGCTCAGATACTCTGAAAGTACACTTTATCGTGCTAAGAACCCACGTTGGGCTAAGGATCCCAGAGTTTTATGTCTCCCAAGAGCTAGTAAACTTACATTTGGAATTTATCAGTCTCATATTTTTGGCTCAGTTATTGCCTCTCTTGTACTTATAATTCCTAGTCTTCCTAATCAAAGTTTTAAAGATATAAAGTCTATAGTGAGGTGTAGGGTTTTCTTCTGGACTCAGGTCCAGTGACTTTAGTGACCAATGACCCATATGACTTTTAAACTTTTCATGACTCTTAGTAGATGGTGGTTTGGCATGGGCATCTGAAATCTGAGTTTCTATTGTATTTTTTTATTGCCATCTTAACAATAACCAAAGAAAATGCTTTATGTGTTACTTGACAGTAATGAGTGCTTAGTGGACATTTATAGAATAAGTAATAATAACTGGCAAAACTGCATAAATTGGTTGCAAATCGTATTTTTGTTTTTGTACAAAGAATGATAATTATTCCACAACTAATTTCAAGAAAACAACACCGTGGTAAAATCTATTTCTAACACAAATCAGGTATAATTGAATAATGCTAAAACCTACTAAATAATAGATCCACTAAGGCTCCTGAGAGCTATCCTAAAGATTTTAAATTACTGTTCACAAAATTAAAATTTTATTTAGTATGAGGACAACCTTTCGTTTACTATTAAGGTCACTGGGTAATGTCTGCATTCCACAGGGCAACATATATAAAAATTAAAACTTACTCCTCTTTCCTTAATACACATCCTCCTCCAGCTTCCTTTTGCCTATCCCCATCTTTGTCTCTCAGTTCTTATATAATCCAAGGCTTGGTTTGAAGTAGTTAATTTCCTGTATCATCCTGCCAAATGCCAGATTTTGGATGTGCACCACTACTCCTTAATCAACACTTAATAATTTCTTCCTTCCTTGTGAGTGTGAGTGTGAGTGTGTGTGTGTGTGTGTGTGTGTGTGTATGTGTGTGTGTGTGTGTGTGAACAGAGTGGGGGTCTCACTAAGTATCCCTGGATGGCTGGGAATGTACTGCGTAGTTCAGGCTGATTTAAAGCATATAGTGATCCGATGCCTTCATACCATCATGCCTGACCCTAACACTTATAATGTATAAATTTGGCTTTTGAATTCTTAAAGTTATCAATCAGATTTTTTTGAAGGAGGTAGAAGAGTGAGAGGCAGGAAAAGCATAAAGAAAGGTTCCCATAAATATGGCGGAAGTCTGGCGAACTTTTCTTATTTGATGACAACAATAATTCTGATTTAACTATGATCACATGAACAATAAACTCTGCTCCTAACTGAATAATCAAAAAGAAAGCCCTAAGCAGAAGTAAAAAATTGTAAGGGGAAACATTACTATTTTAATTTACACAAACATTTTTCAGATATTAATTTCAGCTGTGCTATTTTTTGAATATATACTAACAACTGGAATTATTTGCAAATGTAGAGATACAGCATGTTCTCTGGAGAATGCTCGTTCATTGGCTGAAACTCTACATCCTCTTTGCTGTCATTGTCTGCATACTGTCTACCTAAGAAACTGTGCACTTTCCCGTAATAAGAAACTGGCTTTGCTGGTTGAAAAAAAACAAACTATGTCATTTTTTGGAGTCTGTCCTTTTAATAATTTCCTAAATTCAAAAATATTATAATTCAGGTTGGCTGCAGAATATCTATCAAAGCACCTGTATTTAAAATTGATTCATCTATGAGGTGTTTGAAAGGAGGTCAGAAGTTTCCTTTTACAAAGGTGGATGGTAAGTATCACAAGTCAGCAGCATCACTTCATGCAAAGCACAAGCAGAATGGAACTGAACTCAATTTGCATGCAGGGGGTGACTCTCTGAAGTGGTATTAAGGGATGAACCAGGGTGGATTAATTTCCAGTCTTTGATATTCATTAACTCTAGCTTCAGAAAAAAAAAAGGAGATGACACAATTACCCTCAGAGCTTCACCCGAGAGCAGCGGCTTCACAATTGGAAGTTCATAGTGCCATGCTAATTGATCAAGTAGGGGCACATACCTTTAGCTAAAAGGGCTTAACTACTATTTGGTCCTAACTAATGATGGTATTTGGTGATCGAAGTCCGTTTCACTTTGGAAGTGCTTATCAATCTAGTTACTGTTATTTAATTTTTATGCCACATGTCAATAGCTAGCCCTCTTGGGCTTCAGTAATTTCTTGTCAAAGAGACTCAGTAGTGGTGACCAAGGTAAAATGTCCATTTCATTTGAATTAAGCAGCATTTAGACTTATCTAAATTTTTGTTCACAGATCACACAACATGTCAGAGGCAGATTCTTAGGGAGGAAAAGAACCTTTTGTAAAGGCAAAAATCTTCCTAGTAGAGGGCAATACAGAAATCATCACCAAGCTGCCTCAAATCTCCAGTGAGAGTGCTTGAAAGGATGGGGAGGAATGAGCTTGCTACTGGGCAGAAGTGATAACCCACATGAGGCTTATTTACCTCTGGAGCTTCAAAGACTTCTGGGTCCATGTGTTGGATGGGAGGAAAGAGAGCTACAAAGTCTCCCTTCCGCACATGGTAGCTGCTAGTCTCCAAGTTCAAAGTCATATCCTCTTCAACTACCCGCATGACAGTGGAGTAGGAGCACAGCCGCAGGACCTCGAGGATGATGCTTTCTGAAGGAAGTAAACAACAGCTCTTTTAGCCTGAGTACTGGGAAAAGCTCTCTGTTGGCTTTTAGGGCTCATTACCAACAACCTTGCCTGGTAGGAAAATAGTCTCGTCACACTCATTGAGTCCCAAGAGAATCAATGAGGCTGAGAGTGTAAAGAAGGTAGTGGCTTTGCCCCAATGTCGTTTGGTGATTCACAGGCAGGAGGAAGCTGTGCTGTCTATGGAGTGAGGAAAGAAGGAACAGTCTCTAGGGAAGGACTGAGCTCTTAAGGGGCACAAACATAGTAACATGACTCTATAACCTGCCCCCCTTTCACAGTACACTACTGGAGGGTTACTGCACCAGTCTTAGAGGAGCAAAGCCTTTAAAGACAGGCTTAGCCTTTCACCAGCACTTAGGCAGTTAATGGTAAAGTAATTGTACTAGATGCATTTGGAGACAGCTTAACACTTAATTTCTCTTACGCCAGCTGTAAATAAAATGAGTCAGCACTTGCTGGAACATTTTCAAAGGAACACATTTTTATAGGATTCAGAGGAAAACCACATTTTTTCCCCTCACTATCCAGGGAGAATAATATTCACCACCATCCTATCCTGGAAGATTCCAGAAGCCGAATGTCCTTGCTATCCCTGTGGCCTTCACCTTTTGCTCCTAGCACGACAGATTTTATGGCTAATTTCCGGCGATTTATCCTGGCAGTTTGAGGAGGAATTCCTTTGGGAATAATATGCATAATTTGCATAAATCATTCTGATAGCATGCATATCAGTGTGTAGCTCCTGTCTAGGGCTGCATCTCTCCCTTCATAATCAAAAGTGACTGTGCTTCCGCCAGCGTGAATGGATCCTGGAATATAAAGGTTGATTCTTTCTAATCAGCAAATGTGAAAGAGCTCCAAATGGAGCTTCCCCCTTTCACATGGTAATAAATGATTGTGTTTATGACTTGCAATTTAGAAACCTCACACACATACACATGTTCAGAGCCTCGTTTCTTGGTGCCGAGCACAATTCTGGCATAGCCAGTCCCCAGCTACTAGATTATTAAAGGCAGGCCCATTAGTGGTGGCTTGTATACAAAAAAAGCACAGAAATAAACATTACTTTGGTAAAATGTAAACCCATGAACAGCTTGCACAGGGACATGAAGTAGATTTGGGTGCCTTCTCCCAGGAGGTTTTTTCCTTAAGCATGCATTTGTCTAAAGAAATGAGGCTGCGGTCAGCTCTGTGTGGACAGTGTGGTTATTCA